TTTACAAACAACGAATAGTTTCCACTTTAAATTGGGTATTGCAAAAACATGAACAAATAATTAATAAATGATTTGTTAAGATGTGTAAATACTTGAAGTCTACAAAACAAAGACTAAATATATGACCTTTACGGACTGTGATTATGAGTTAATGAATAATATATTAACATGAATGGTTTGTGAAGTGCTTAAAATGAATAATTAAGCTATTTTTTCACAACATTTGTAAATGTAAAATCATTTGTAGATTTTTTAAAAAGTGCATGATCATATGAAATTAAATTTATGACATTTGTAAAAATTATCGAATGACCCAATGTTTGTTAATGATTTCATCATTTGTAAATGTTTATAAACGATTACTAATCATTTAGTATCTGTATGGGCATTGGACTTTTAGCTACACTCTCAGAAAAAAAAGGTACAAAAGTTGTCAGTGGGGTGGTACCTTTTCAAAAGGTACACTTTTGTACCTTTTAGGTACTAATATGTACACTTTAGGTACTAATATGTACCCTTATGGTACCAATATAGACTTTTTAGTTACAAAGGTGTGCCTTTTGAAAAGGTACCGCCCCCTTTTTTTTCTGAGCGAGTAATGTAACAAGGTTTGTGTAAAGGGTGGCTGGTTAAGTTGAGCTAAATGCTTGCTAAAGACATAAAATATTGTAATTTTGGTGCAAAAACGTGATTTTATTACTCTTCAGTATATCATTAAACAGGATATTTCTTGAATCATAAATAAACAGGGGAAAACAAATCATTTTAAAAAGTAAATACGTTCATTTATCAAAACAATATAATACAAACAGATAGAGCCCTGTTCCCTTATAATAATCAAATTGACCCCTGTACACTGTTGACCCTTTAACCAACCCTTAAACCGACCCATACCACCAAACCTGCCCCTAACCTGACCCGTATCACACCTCCATAGCAGCAAACGTGTTGTGCATTATCACAAGCTTTTAATCATTTTATAACATCTGTTAAAATCATTTGCAGATTTTCAATAAGTGCTTGATCATATGAAAGTTTAATGACATTTGAAAGTATTTTGAACTTACATGAAATAATGATTTGTTTGAACTATCTAATGTTTAATAAGTTTATTAGCAAACATTAACAAGCACATTATCTCACATTTCTAACTCTTTGAATATATATTTACTAATGATCCATTAAGCATTATATAATGTTTGTTAATGATGTATTAATGAAAGTTATTATAACGTGCTACCAAAGATATTTACAAATAATAATAATTCAATGATATCCACAGATCAATTTTAGAGTTTCACAAATTAATTTCACAAATAAATAAAATGAAATCTGCAAATAAAAAACATTCACATAAATATGTTTATGTCACAAACACAACTTTTCCTGGCATTAATTTGTGAATGGCGTTCTGTGCATTTGTAGATCACTGCGTGCATTTGTGGATTTTGAAACATTTCTAGCGTAAAGGCGCTGACAATCCATAAATGTATGGACTCCTCCCACCATCTACTCAAGCCAATCAGATAACAGCCGTACTACGCTGACCAATTTTTGATCTCATTTTATTTATTTGTGAATTCAATTCATGAAACTCTTATTTATGTATTCTCATTAACTTTATGTTAATCTCTTTACATTTATTTGTGGATCATAATCTATTTATTTGGAATTATGCAACAATACCCCCATAAACTTCAGTCAGTCCTTCTTCTTCTTGTTGTTTGTTCAGATCTACAGAAAGATGCTGCATTGAGAGGCGGAGCACAAAGGAACCAATCCTGAGCTCTGTGGGCGGAGCCACACATGATTGACAGCTGTCATTAGTGAAGAGTCACTGAAGCGTTTCATTTTTTTATAGCTTAAATACACGATGTAAGAACGGAATAAAATGTAAGTTAAAAGCTGGTGAATTGTTGTTGTGTAAATATATAATGTTAAAATTAAGTCAGCATTGCAAAACACATGACATGTTCAGTGGTGAGATACAAACTCACTGTTTTCTTATTTCACAGCATATTCCTGCTTTTAAATCATAATTGATCATTTTACCCTGATATACTGAACAAAATCATAATTGTGAACCTCACAATGGACAATGCATTATTTTATGGTGTCAAAGCGCTCAATATTATTCGTTTCTGTTATTCTCTTTTTGTTTCCCTCAAACTACCACCACACTCACACACACAATAAATCATAATCATTTTACCCTGATATACTGAACAAAATCATAATTGTGAACCTCACAATGGACAATGCATTATTTTATGGTGTCAAAGCGCTCAATATTATTCGTTTCTGTTATTCTCTTTTTGTTTCCCTCAAACTACCTACCA